TATCAATAGAGATGCAAATTAAACCAACGCTGGCTTTAATGCTATAATTGCTTTTGAAAGAGGACAATTTTCCGACATTGTTTTGCTGTTGACATTGTTTTGAATGTTAGGGAGCAGTTAATATCGGAAAATTCTCGCCACGGCGTCTTTTTCAGAGCTCTGAATGACCATCCCCGTAGACCGACATGGGGTGTGAATAGAACCAATGATGTTTCCTCTTATCTTTTTAACCGTCGCCCAAAGTCAGTTTTAAAAAAATAATGAGCGAAAGCGTTTCTAGAGCATCTTTTTTAAACACTAAATTAACCTCACCTGTAGAGTGAAATTTTATTCCCTGTTTCTAAGGACGAGAAAACGAAAATTAGAAAGCGTTTGTTGCTTTGTCGGTTACCTTTTCCTGCGATACATTTCAAGGCAAATTTTTTATATTGAATCGAGCCATCTGTAGTCTCAAACAATAAGGGTTTATCCGGTCATAAACCTTAGAAGCAAATTAAATGACACATTTAAGACACTCCTTTTTCTCCGGAGACTTAAATGAGAATCTTAAAAAAGCTCGACACTGAATTGACATCTTTATTCATAAGGAGTCCTCGGTAGATCTTGATGAAGAAGCACCAAACGTGCAAGCTCTGAACTAAACCTTATATAAGCTTTACATTTCGCAATAAACAGCTGAGAGGCTCTTTGGCCTCCTAGTTTATCGTGATGTAAATTGTTTAAATTGAAATTTAAATCCTTCTCGAATGAGAGCTCGAATGGAGAACACTGAAGCTCCATAAAAAGAAAGAAAAATACTCAATACTGAGACTTGATTCATTTTTTAACAACATACGAGAGAAAAAACACTATATTGCTAAACAGTGTTACTGAGACTTAGTCAAGAATTAAATTCAATACAGAAAAGGAATTTATACCTAAAGTAAATTTCCACTTTGTGATTAGTCTCACCTTCATATGCAACATATATTTAATTGTTGCATGGAATCGAGTAGTTTACTCACGATATATACTCTCTTAAAGTGATGCATGGAAATGCTTCAATTTTACATTTGTAAAGAATATATATCATTCTCAAAGATTTTATTAAGATAAATGCGCTGCGTATTTCGAAGGATCGCGATTATCACGGTAAATATAATTTTTTGCTGAGGTCATCATGACACGAAATAGAAAAGAAATACATATTTTTCTTGTGTGAAATCGCTAATATAATTCATCTCTAGAAGTGAACAAAAGAGGTTAATCCGTTTGTAAAACGTAAAAGCAAAAATAAGCTCCATCCTTTCGAACTTTTTTCCATCCTGAGACTCATTCAAATAGATGTCTGCAGGACTAGCCGCTGAATTGACACTAAACCTTATATAAGCTTTACATTTCGCAACTTTTCACAACAAGAGTCACTCGTCTTTAACAAAGAAGAGTCCCCATGTACCCTCTCAGCAATAAGCTTTATATTTCACGAGTTTATCTTGATGTGAATCATTTTAATTAAGATTTAAATCCTTTACAAAAGTTCGTCTCAGGATCATCGAAATCGCTTACAAATAAAGAAAAATCTTTACACCTGTGATTCAATTTCCATCTTTCCACAAAGTACTACTTCCTAGACGTAAAAAGGAAAATTAGCGAGGCATTTATGCAGCGCAGCAAATCGAACCAGAACTAAAGGGGAACTCCGATAACTTGCCTAAAGATTAGTCTTTTAGTCAGTACAACAGATGTTTTTATTCGAATCTGGTTTGGGTTTTAACGGATAAGATTATGACTTATTGTCTATGCAAATGCACAAGCAATCTTGAAAGCTTTAGATTTATTTTTTTGATAATATTCTTTCCTGGAGTTGTGTTTCGACAAAGACGCAGCGTTAATGGAACAAATGAATAAATCAATTAATCTGTGCACCACGAAACATGATTTGTGATTTTTTCGTCCAGTTGATCGCAAAACGTCTTAGAAAGTCGCAAACTGAAAGACATTTTAAGGTATATATGGAGAGCTTATACTCATTTGAACCAAATATAATTTGATTAATAGCTTCTGCTGATAATCTCGGCTTTCTTGAGATTGATACCAAAATCAGTGTGATCTTTAACAATCTCTAACATCTTTAATTTACTTAAGCGGATGTCTATCCGTAGGGAAGAATATTTAAGCCCGAAGAGGGGCACGAAAATATATTCTTTATATCGAGTGATCTTTGTTAGAAATATCACCGGGGTATAAATTCTTCCACGACTGAAATCCCTTGATTTTTCAGCAAATTGATCGACTAGTGTAAACAGTTAACTATGATTTTTAAGGCTACTCGTACTTTGTTCTTAACCCTTTTAACCCTAAGAGTGACTAGCATCTAATTTCTCCTTACAATATCACCCCCAAAATCACATATTAAGGTTGCAAGAAAAAAGGAAATGATCAGCAATGATAGAAGCTCTAGATTGTTAAACAAATTCTCCTTAGCAGCACCATAGGAAAAGTATTGAGAACAGTATGGAGAATATGTTTACTGATGTCAGGTTGTAAAGAGTTAATTGACGCTGCAACTTGTTATCACAAGGTTGTTATCAGTTCATTATTCTATTTGGCCTGTCAACTAACCTTTCTTTTTTATTTCAGCGAAAAGCTGAATATGCGTCGATAAATGAGGGATGATATAGAGGGTATACCAATTTACTACCTTTTCTTTCGCCCTGTGGGGAAACCCTAGTACTTGCACAGATTACTCGATGGGTTACTGTGTAGCACGAGAACCTTAGGATTCTTAAAGGGCCCATACTACCCACGGATTAGCTATCATTTGAGTTTTGCGGGAGCAAAGTTTTTGTTTTTGAGATGACTATAAACTTGTCTCTGGACTTATTTTCCTGATTTTCTGAGTAACCTACTGAACTCTATTCGAGCGAAAAAAGAAACCATATATCTACAAATTTTCTAATTAAAGAAGTTATGTGAAGAGTTGTTGTACGGTGAATGATTCGTAGATGGATATTTTGAGTGAGTTCTAATACAAAGGTTGAAGAGTTCTCTTTTATTTCCAGTTTCTCGTTGACCGAAAATGTGTCAAAGCTGGAACAAAATTTCTCGACGCAACTGATCTCCGAGTGGCTTATCGTTGTTTCGTCAAAGTATGGCGTTCAGCAAACATTGAAAGAGATTCAGTACATCATCATTAAAAGGTTGCGAACCAAGTACACTCCCACCCCTTTACATTTTTCTTCAATTAAGCCTCTGTTATGCCAGTGTTACCTCCGAGAATTCACATTATGGAGATATTCATAAATAACTGACACTACAGACCATTCATACATTTATTAAATTCATTTTGCGGCTAGTGTTAGGAGTCCGGTTTATATTTGACAAAAAAGCTAATAATAATTCTTTTTCAAAAACCACAATATTTCAGTGGCACACGTATACGTAGCAACAAATCTTTAACTAGGTAAAATAAGCTGATGAAAACATTTATCTTCAAAGATATCAAATGGATTTACAACATTCTTACAGTTGAGAACTACCTTCTATTGATATCTCCTCTTCGTAAACAAGATCCCTGTTATCATTTACTCATTCATTCACGTGAAAGTGTTTTCTAAAAACGCTCAAATTCCGGAGTCCCTCTATTTAATTATTAGCAGCACTAAGATGAAAACCTATTTCCAAGTAGATACCTTAAAAGTACCAACGCAGATTTCTTCTGAGCTTGCGCTGTTGTTTCTTCTAGACTTGGCACAAATGCCCATCAGGCAATCGAGGTAGACAGTTACATGTACAACCTCAATGACCCTCTCAATGTATCTTGTATCGTATAATGACGAGTTTTACCATGGCACGTGTCACTGCACCGTAAATGAAGGAATCCTTTTGGCGTCTTTACGGAGGCTTGTATACATTCGTGAGTACTACGAGATGTCTTTCCAGACCACTGTACCTGAACCGTGCTGATGACAATATTTTCAGAATCATTGTCTATTGTAGACCTAAAAGACAAACCATTCAACTTAGCAGAAAGTCTTTCTTCGGAAGGAATGCTGTCACTCTTCGAAAACAATACAGCGATGTCTCTCTTACTGTACCCCTCTTTCAAAAGCTGGTACAACGTGGTATGGAGAACATCCAGTTGGGTTGTTTCGCTCTCTGAATAAGATATTTTCCGTACATCGTCTCCATCAAAGTCATGCCCTATCTCAACCCCGTCTTTCGAATCATCAGCGACAAAATATTTTTTGGCACCTTTGAATATCTTCGTTGAGTTCCGAATGACTTTCCTCAACCTAAAGTGCGGTCGTTGTTTGCTTTCATCAGGAATACCGGAGGGAAATCGTGACTTTTTCGGAAGATGTCAATAAAACACCAAAAGTGACCTGGTCTGTCAGGATCATGCTGTCGCCTTCTCATACCAGGGAATTGTGCCAGAGCGCTGTTTGAAGTTGTGAACTTCATCAGGTATGACATTCTTTATGACATGGTTTATGGAAACTCATAACTGATGAAGGTTTCACGGCAAATGGCATTGCACAGTCCCTCAATTTTCCTTGCGAGTTAACCAAGGTTGAATTACATTACGTTACAAACTGAAGTTTCACATTACTAGTAAGAAATGATACCGATTGAGCTTTTGTCAGATTTTTCCATTTCGATTCTTAGTTGATAACAATAGAAAAGGGTAATTTAAAATAGGTGCATACACCAACACCGCTTGCGGCTGGTAAATGTACTTTAAATTTCCTGCTAAATTGGATTTGGTCCTTAATTCATAGGAGTTTAAACAATTTTTAACTCTCATCACTTTTAAAGCAGGCTAGTCCTGAAGTTTAAGTGTTGTCATGGGCAATCCTTACCGTACTTGATTTGCTATGCCCTCATTTTCACAAACAAAGGATTTCATCCCTTTGTAGTTTATCACGGCGTTTAAGCTCTCTCATGAATTCTACTGCCACAAGGGTCTTTCCCGTCCCAGCGACTGCCTTTCTCCATAACTCTTCGTTTGTCTTAGTCAGCTAATGAACCAAGTGGAACTGTTCCTTGGTAAGGAGATTGAAAATGGTTACTCCTAACTTGCTGGACAAAGTAGAGGGCACTGCAGCAACAGTTTTCACCACAGCTTTGAGTATTTCATTAAGTTTCGCTCGGGGAGTATGGAAATCATAAGACTTCGGGTAGCGATCGTCAGGTAATAGGCGTATCACTTCACCTGCGCGACATGGTAGCACATGGTATGACCGATAAAACCTTTGGCCCCTTGCGCAATTTTCGGAAAGATGTTTCTTTATGGACTTTGCAGCCCTTTTACTATATTTCAGAGACTTCTCATCTGCTGCATCGCAGAGACTGTACAGGTGAGGTCCACCGATGTTTCTGCTGACTAGAAGAACGTCACAGATGACGCTATCGATTGCAATACCTCCAGTATCGCGAAGCCAAGAACGTGATACAGCCAGAAAACCCCGATTACGTCCCTGCAACAAACTTTCTGAATGTTGCGAATCGCTTCCTGTGCCAGTACTGGAAAGCTAGACTCTACACCTCTCGGTGAAATGGGAACTTCTCATCAACTGCAATTAAAATATTTAAAAACTTAGATAAGAGACCTTTAGACAAAGAGAACATATCAGAAAAATGCTCGTGATGGAAATATTCCCTAGTCCATAAGAGTCCACGTATTGCAATTCTTCTTTCCCGTGGCCAATTGCACACAGGATTACGTCAACCGAGATATATGGAAGCAACAAATATTGTACACATCTCTTAAGTAAGTGCACATAGAGTACCTCACAGTGGCTTCCATGAATCGCAGGAAGGGAATTGTCAGTTTGGTTCAAACACTATCTTTCATATCAAGGTAAGAAAACAAAATATTACGGATGGAATACTTTTCCTGTGTCCTATGGAAGAGCTCGCTCAACCACGCCTGTTCTTTCCCTTTTTTTACCAAGTATTCAGACGCCAGCCAGTTGCTGAGAAAATGTATATTTGCCTCAAATAATCTTGCTTTTCTTAAGATAAGGCAGAGATCTATGTTTTGTGCATGTAGACGAAAGTTTATTTCGACCCAATATCGTTCTTATTATTATGCCCCAGGGATTAATGATGAGTTAGGGGAAGGCTAGGTGCGCAGTTGTTCAGACACTGACATTGATCAAATTCTAACCATACGTCTGTGAGACTTGAGGCTGAATTGACAAATTTTCAAAGTAACTGTCACATACCTTTGATAAAGAAGAGCTCTCCGTATACAATAGGCTTTATAGTACGCGATAAAGAGCGGAGAGGATCTCTTTACATTCAGCTTCTCAGTTTATCTTGATGTAAATCATTTTACATTAAGAAGAAGTGGGGAGAAACACGAGACGTAGTCGAGTGTTTCTCCCTACACTTCTTTCGTGATCTGGCCGCTTCCTGCGTGCTTTATAACAGAACAGAGCACAGTCAAGACTTCTCTATTTGTTAATTAAGGTGACGGACGCACAGAACGAGAGGCAAAACTGTAAAAGTAAATAAGCGAAGGAAAATGTTTGTTTTCTTGACCGTCGTGTTGGCGAAGAATTTTTATTGTTAGGTAAAATTTCGCAAATGGCCGGATCTGTTTACCGTCTCTGACAGTGCCACATCTTAACTTCAGCATTACGGATGTGATTTCAGCGTTGAATTCCACACAGGAACTTAACTAATTTTGCTGTCGGAGTTTCCGTTCTCAGACGACCTTTGAGCAACCAGAAATTCTTGATGACACGATCGAGCTCTTCTATTTACACGCCATTGCCAGTGAACGGGACGACTACTTACAAGATTGGAAATTGCAAGAAATACGTATAACATGGGCAATACTAATAACATAAGGAACACGGGATACTCGACGAAAGAACAATTAACTTGACTATTTTGGAACACGGCTGCATAAAAACGTACTTGCAATTACCTTCCACACGAGCTAACACCGTTATATTTGCATGATCCGCGCAAAAAGTCAAACTTATATGAATAGCCGCGCGAACTGGGGCTAGGAGGGGGATTGGTTTCTACGCCGGCCCCGAATTAGCTATTAGTAATAACTAATTCCAACAACAAGTAACCAATTCCAAGACTACGAAGCTCCTATAGTAATGTAACGAAAATGAACTTATTTTAGATAACGCAGTTTGTAATTATAGTGTAATATGGTCTTGGCCATAGAGCTGATAACAGTTTATAAAGTCCACGAGTTCTGATCTCCTTCAAGGAGGCACAGCTTTCTAACGATCACGTTTGTAGACAGTTGTGGCCGTTTTCACCTTAACGTTGCGTACATAACCATAACTGTCTGGGAACACCTCCTCAATCAAGCCCATTGGCCAGTGAGCTCTCGGCGTCTTCTCGTCGACAACGAGAACCAACTCACCGACGGCGAAGTTTCGACGAGGTACGCTCCATTTCTGCCTCATTTGAAGTGCAGGTAAATAACCCTTCATCCAACTTTTCCAAAATGAATCTGCTAGGCATTGAGCTTGGCGCCAACGCTTGCTATACTTGTCGTGACCTTTGAAGACATCCGGCGGAAAGCAGGAATTGGATCTCAGAAGCAGGAGTTTGTTCGGAGTCAGCAGCTCTGGATCATCTGGGTGGTCGCTTAGGAAAGTTAAAGGCCAGTCGTTAAGAATCCTTTCTGCTTCACACAGCAGGGTTGACAATGTTTCGTCGTCAACCAGCTGTTCCTTTAACAGGGCACCCAAAACCCTCCGTACGGAGCCGATCATACCTTCCCATATTCCATCCTGATGGCTGGACTCAGCAGGGTTGAATGACCATTGAACGTCGTTCGATCTCAAACGATTATAGATTTTGGTTTGGTCCAGTCACTTCAGTGCTTCTCTCAACTCTCGCCATGCACCCTTGAAGTTGGTGCCATTGTCACTGTATATCTCTTTGGGCTTCCCTCTGAGGCTGACAAAATGCTGATACGCACAAATAAACGAGTCTGCTTCCAAAATGTGTGCGACTTCCATGTGCACTGTCCTCATGGTTCGGCATGCGAACAAACATCCGTAACGTTTTACCTGAAGGCGACCTTGCCTCAAAAAGAGGGGAGCTAAAGTAGTCCACGCCCACATGGGTAAATGGTGGATCTGTCGGAGCGACTCTTGCTGAAGGGAATGGTTCCATAATCTGTTCACCAGGACGAGCATTTCGCGTGCGACAATTCATGCAATTCGACAAAACCTTGCGCACTGCCGAGAGACCTCGCACAATCCAGAATCTCCGTCTGAAGAAGGCCAGAACTTGAGAAGGACAAACAATGTCCGTGTTGGCGATGACAATTCTGGATGACCAAATTTGTCACGTCATGTTTACTGGGAAGAATAATGGATGCTTCCTTTCGAACGAAACAGGAGCATTCTCCAAGCGACCTCCTCTCCTCAATATTCCTTCAGAAATGAAAGGGTTTAAGCTGCGTATTGGACTAGACCGTGGGACGCACTTCCTCTAGTTCCCTGACGCTCCTTAGCCTACCATAGCTAACTCCATTGGAAGTACGTCATGCTGGACAGCTTTGATAATGACACTCTCTGCAGCAATAACTTCGGTGACAGTCAAGGGCCCCAAGGTATGGCCTTTTGAAGACTATCCAAGAGGAATAGCGGGACAACAGTGGGTCCAACATTTTACCACAGACGATCACGTTCGCACGACCAGGGCACCTTCTACATTCACTGTCGTCTTGAGGTAATTCCGGCCGCTGGAACGGTTGCTTGGCCCAATTCTCTTATTCCTTCCGCAGAAACTTTGGACCGTGAAGCCACAGCTCCAACTTGCATAAGTCAGAACCTTTCGCCCCTCTGGACGCGAAGTCGGCAGGGTTCGCACAGGTGTCAACATGTCGCCGTTGACGTGGTGTGGAATCTTCTTGATTCGTTACGAATGTACTGCAAGACTACGGTAGAATCTGTCCAGTATATTGTGTCGCGCATTGGACACTCTAGCTCGTTCCGAATCAGACAATACAATTTCACAGCGACAACTACAGCTGCTAATTCTAGACGCAGTATGGACACCTCTTTAAAAGGAGTCACGCAAGATTTGCCTAGAACAAATGAACAATGCTGGACACCTTTGTCGTAGGCAATCTGGAGGTACGATACTGTTCCGTAACCATTTTCGGATGCATCTGAGAGATGGTGTCACTAGACGTTGACGACTACACTGAATCCTGGTGGCTTGAAACATCTAGGAACAGATATTGTTCTCAAACATGCAAGTACTTTCAGCCATCCTTGCCATACGATGAAATCTTCATGAGAAATCTCTTCGTCCCGACCATACCTTTGCATGCATAAGCTCTGCAGGAGGCTCTTGGCTAACAGAATGATAGGCGCGACGACAAGGTGCGCTCTACATGAAGATCGTCCAAATCTAAGTTGACCACCGAGGGCGCTCTCTCCATTCCTGGAACTATGGTGATTACGTTCCTGTCGTTACTGATCCATTTGGTAAGTCGAAACCCTCCTCTTGACAGCAATTCTCGAAACTGGCCAGACAAGCGTGCCACTTTGTCAGTCGTAGGGACTGACTTAAGGCAATCGTCTACATAAAGGTTCCGGTTGACAGTGTTAATGGTTTCCTCATCAAATTTTTCCAGATTATCCAAGTCTGTCTTTTTAAGACAAAAACTCGCGCAACTTGGAGGAGACGTGGCTCCAAATGAGTGCACTAATATTTGGTAATCAACTGGCTCTTTGGCGAGATCGTTGTTGGGCCACCACAGGAATCCGCGTATGAGAAAGAAAAAATGTTTACGGTTATTTCTTCTCTCAAACACTTAAATATATATAGATACCAAATAATCTTGATACTGAACATCATTGCACCCTATTATAAAAAAAAATTGCCCCTGATTGCTTTGTCAACTTGAATGTATGATGTAATATAGCTTGTGATTTGTGGGATTTTCACAAGTATACTAGAAATACCCAAAGAGGGTAATGATGTACTTAAGGCAAAGCTTTTTGGTACAAAGTCTGCTTTCTTCACCTTAGCCCTAACCCTAACCCTAACCCTATCCCAAACCCAGGGTTAGGATTAGGGTAGGGTTAGAGTTAGGATAGCTTGCAGTTAGAGTCAGAGTTAGGACTTGAGTGCGGGTGGGATTACGATAAGGCTGAGGGTTTAAATTTTTTTCTGAAAGCATCCAATTTCTGTTTTTTGGCATTGTGTTCGGCTGTAAACTTAGCAACTACTTGACAGTTTGCTTAAAATCAAAATATACAATTTTTTGCCAAAATAACATGCAAAAAAAAAACAAAAACGTGTTTTCAGCCCAAATTGACAGCAAGGATACACAAGAACATTTGCTTATTGCCTTATTTGTTTTATTATCCAAACTTATGAATTTGATTTTGGCATTTCAAACAAAAACTCCGCTAGAGCATTAATTGAATGACATATCATGCACTTACTTAGGAGCATCAACACTTTTGGAATTCAGAAAAATAACTTTTTACTGCGTTTAAGGATCGCTGGATATAACCTGAACAACCAAGATGAATCTTCATCCATTATTTGTCATAA